CTAACCCCAATCAAGCTTACGGCGTCCAGTCTTGCTAGCAACGCCTCATACTCGGCTTCGTTATTGGACGTCTTGAATTTCAATCTAATTGCCCTTTCAATGATGAACCCTTCTGAGTTGGCTAGCACGATACTTGTCCCTACTTCCTTTGCGTTCAAGGATCAATCAACATGAAGATCCCACACATCCCCTGTCTAATACTGTGCTGTTGGTGGGGGCTCGGACGCAGAGAACTCGGCGACAAAATCTACCAGGACTTGTCCTTTTATTGACGTTCAAGGCTTGTACTTGATTTCAAAATCTCCGAGCTCTACAGCCCATTTGGCAACCCTCCCAGACATATCGGTCCTGTGAAGGATCAACTTGAGAGGTCAGTATGTAAAGACGTCTATGGCGTGAGCCTAGAAGTAGTGTTGAAGTTTCCTCGACGAGACTACCAATGCCAAGACCAATTTCTCCATTGGAGAGTATCTTTGTCTCTGTGTCAAGCAAGGTCTTGCTTATGAAATACACGGGCCTCTGTGCCTCTTCACTATCCCTGACCAATGCTCTACTCACGGCGTCTTGAGATACGGACAAGTAAAGTCAGAAGATGTTTCAAGTACTCCTTGATCCCTTCAAGAGCTCAACCGCATTCCTCGTCCCAAACCCCCTTAGCTGCCCCCCTTAACATGGCAAAGAACGGTTTGCACTTATCGAACGACTTGAAAATAAATCTGTTGAGGGCTGCCAATTTCTGAACGTCCTTAATAGTCTTAGGCACCCAGACATTCTGAATTGCTTGTATTTGCTCGGGTTTCACCTCGATCCCCCGATGAGTGACCAAATACTCCAAAAACTTTCTAGAGCTCACTCCAAAGGCGCACTTTTAGGGGTTAAATTTTAGGCCATATTCCCGAACGATGGCAAACGTCGTCCTGAGATGGTGAAAATGGTCGACCTCCTCTTTGCTTTTGACCAACGTGTCATCAATGTACACCTCCATCGTTTCACCGAGCTAGTCTTTGAAAATTTTGTTCATCAATCGTTGGTAAGTCGCCCTAGCATTTTTCAACCCAAAAGACATTATTGTGTAACAGTAGATTCCTTGGGGCATGATGAACGTCATTTTCTCTTGATCTGATTCATAGAGGGGAATCTGGTCATATTTAGCCCGAGCATCCATGAAAGTGATGCGCCTGTGCCGGTTACCAGCTGATCAACTTTAGGCAAAGGGTACTCGTCCTTGGGGCAAGCCTTGTTTAGGTCTGTGAAATTCACGCAAACTCACCATCTCCCTTTTTTTTTCTTGGCGCATACTGTATTTGATAACCATTGGGGGAATTGTACCTCCTTGATGGAACCTGCCTCTGACTACTTCCCCACCTCTTCATCCACAGCCTTCCCGTGATGAGGCACTGTTCTCCGGCCCTGTTGCCTAATGGGTTTGAATGAGAGATTCACATGGAGTCAATGAGTCATCACCTCGGCACTTATCCCTGTGATCTCGGCCTGGGTCTAAGCAAAGACATCGACATTGTGGCATAAAAATGAGGCCATATCATTTCTCTCTGCGCTGATGAGTGATTCTTCTATCAAGAAGTATTTCTCGCCGTTATCTGGGCTCAGGAGAATCTTCACCAAGGCCTCAATAGACCGGTCGGCCAGCTCCATGATGGGCTCATCCACCCCCGGACGACCGTTCTTTGATTTCTATTTGACAACCACCGCATCGAGATCACGCTCCTGACTGCGGCTGCTGTCCCCCATTTTCACCGCGACATAGAAACAGCTTTTTGTCGTGGCTTGATCACCCCGGATCTCCTTTTATGCCCTGTGGTGTCGGGAACTTTATTTTCTGGTAGTAGGACGAGTGGACCGCCTTTATTGCATGCAACCATGATCTCCCCATAATTGCATTGTAAGGGGAGTCAGAGTCTACCACCACAAATTCCACTGGCATGGTCACCACCCCCGCCCGTACCATGAGAGTGATTTTTCCAAGGGGTAGGGTGCTGGAACCGTTGAAGCCGATGAGGGAGATTTTTACGGGTTTCAGATCCTTCTAAGAGAGTCTCATCTTACGAAAGAGGTGATTGTACATTACCTCGGAGGAGCTGCCTGAGTCCACCGATATCCTTTTAATGTCGAACTTCTCGATCTGCAATGTGATCATCAATGCATCCTTGTGGGGGATGATCACACCGCTGAGATCAACATCCGAAAACTGGATAACCTCGGCACCGTTTCGTGGCCTCTTGGGCGGCCACTCATCACCCCCTTCTGTCCACCCTGACTGCTTGAGAGACCCTTTGCAACTTGGCATGGAAGGAGTTGTATGTAGGCCTCTCCACTGTGCAGGCATGGATAACATCAATCATGGGTGCTACCTCAGCTGACACCTCGATTTGCTCCCTCGTCGACCTACCGGGATGACCCCTGTCGATGAATTCCCCGAGGTGTCTGTGTTGCACCAATTGTTCGAGGAAAGACTATAAGTCTTGCACTCCTCTGTCAAATGGCCGATATCTCTATGATACGAACATTGGAAGGCCGGATTCCTTATCGACGGGTCTCCAATCATTCTCGGGGGCCACCTGAAATAAGGTCTATTTTTAATTTTGGGGAGTATCTTGTGAATGGGCTCGTTGAATACCGTGTTCACTCCCTAAAAGGATAGGTGAGTTGGGGGTGAAATAGGCCCTCCCCTTCGGGACAGCTGCTCCCTTTCCCTTTTTCTCGGCACCGTGGCCCTACTTTCGGGCATAATGGACTCTTCCTCCACCCGGGTATATTTGTTAATCCGAGCCATCAAGTCTTTCATGTCCGTCGGAGCCTTGGTCAGTAATTTGTACAAATCAGTGTCTCGGGACAGCCCCAGCCTAAATGACGCTACGGCCAATGCCTCCACCTCATTCACCTCATCCCAATATCGGATGACATATTGTTGAAGTGTTTCTCCCCCTTTTCGCCTAAGCGTCAACAAAGCGCTGATTTCTTTTGGTTTCTTACTGTTGGTGATGAATCGAGCTAGGAAGAGCTCTGTCAATTGTCTCCAGGACCTAACGCTCTCGGGAGCAAGACTCTCATACCACTTCATGCCGGTGTCCCCTAGCCTCATGGGAAAAACTCGGCACAATACCCTTTGGTCAGTATCGTAGATTGACAACAATTATTTGTACTATCGAAGGTGGCTCTCGGGGTCGATTTTCCCATCATAGACTTTGAATCATGGGACGATAAACTTCTTCGGCATCTCGGTCTCCCTAATAACCCAGATGAACGGCGAGATAACTTCGTCGGAGTAGACCGCGGGTTCATGGTTGCGCTGAGTGATGAAGGGGGCCTAGGGATCCTTGGTTGATCTCTCCCCTAGAGGCCTTCGGGGTATAGACTCCGCTTGAGATTCGACGGCTCCGAAGCCCTCGGGTATCCGTCGGCGCAGCTTCCACTTGGATAGACTTGCCTTCTGGACTGATTTTGACTCTCCCTTGGAGGCCGAGAACCCTCTTTGGCAGTCACGTCCCTTGGACAAGTGCCTTATCCAATCTTTCCTAGAGGGCCATTGCCAGGCGGGTATGGACAGGTTCTAGCTGGGCACCTGGTCTCTGACCCCGCGACTATGCTCACCCGCGCTTGTTGACTGCTTGAAATTGTCAAGACGTTGCTAGACTTTGGCGTTTTCCCTTTTGAGTTGCTTAATGCTTTTGCCCATCCACTTTTCCACCATCTCCACGATGTCATGGGCCATGAGGTCACGTCCCCCAAGGCCCTGATCCATAGGGAGCGTTCTTTGCGAAGAATGCTCCACCCCATCTGATTGGCTCAATGAGCCCGGCTCCAGAACCATTAGAAGTCGGACGGGCTCTGCATTCCTAGCCCGTGCACTTGCTCCCTTACCTTGAGATCGAGTGTTCACCATCAGAGGATCGCTATCAAAAATAATGTTTTCGTTCCCACAGACGACGCCAAATTGCACGAGATAATTCCTGCAATCGTGTGAGGCAGCGAACTCCCAACCGGCGAACCTGAAACAACTAGGTCAGGTAAAAAAATGGGGGTCAGGCGTGTGCCCGGTTAATCCCCTCCGAAGCTTAAGTTAGTATAAGATCGAAGGGTTTTGCTTAATGGACTTTTTCTGGTTCGAGTTTGCATACCTTTGTTCATCTTTCTGAGGAATATTTATACCTGAATTAGTAATGATTGCCAAAGATTTTCAGTCTCATCTGGACATCTTACATCTGACACATCATTCTCTCGTGCAATGACTACTTCCTATTCACGTCTCCTCCTATTGAATGCTAGGAAAATGGGGTAAAAGCTCGACTATGCGCTGAGAATTTATGCCACTCCCCGAGTAACTAAATCCAGCAAGTCGGCATCTGACACCAACTGAGCATTGAATACTCGGCGGAACAATTCCTTGGGAGAGCTGATCACGTTGTCTCGACGCATCAGCCATTAATGCTTAGCCATCATGACAGTAGGCTTAAACTCCTAGAAGGCAGTTGCTGGCAGACGCGCATTTATTTGTTTTGTCACTATCACTCGTTCCCTTATAAATATGAGGTCACATCGTATTAAATACGATGTCAACTGTCGTACTCGATTGCTCTTTGTCACCATATCTCGGAATCCTTTAGACATCCGAACGATTTTATTGTTTCACGTGTCAACCCGGAGACTAAAAAGCCACATTGGAGTCCTGCCACATAGCATCAAACAATTGTCGTTGGTTGAACCGTCCATTTATTTCTGGTGTGTGGCCGTGTGTATTTGTGTTTGTGTTTGTGTGTGTGTGTGAGTGTGTGTGTGAGAGAGAGAGATAGAGAGAGAGAGTTGACTTTAGAGCTACGTTGACGTCAAAGTCCTTACATCACGCAGGTAGGTCATTTTCTATCCCTCCTACCTCGCTGGTTCCACCATCATTCCAAGAAACTTCTTTTCCATTTTTTTTATTTCATGGTGAGAGGGCGACTCGAGCTATAAGTATCCTAATCTGTTGTTCCAATCTTTAACACCTCTCTCTCTCTCTCTCTCTCTCTCTCTCTCTCTCAAGCACACACATTTTCTGATACAGTTAACAGTTGATTTTGTTGCACAGAATCTTGCCTTATTCCTGCAATCAAAAGAATGGCGGCCAAAAGGTTTTTCGATGAATCTAGCCCTAACCCAGATCAACCAAACCAGAAACGGTCCAGAACTAGACCTTCTTTTGCTTCGTATGTTTCCATACCTCAGCCCTTGATGTTTTTCCCCCTTCATTTTATCTATTTGGGCCATTTAACTAGAGATACAATCTTGAACCTTGATTGCTTTATTATGTTCAAATCTCTTTTAGAAACTAATTATCTCACTCACTCTCTCTCTCTCTGTGCAGAGTTATCAGGGAAGTGGTTACGTTGAATTTCCTAGAGAACTTATGTTCAGCGCTGGAGCCAATGCTACGAAGAGTGGTATGACTGTACAACTCTCATGGCACACCTCATGCTTACACAAATTGCTTTGCACAACTTTTGTTTAGAAAAAAGGTCCCAAAAATACAAGATTCATGTTTCTCGATAAATAATTTTTGAAAGGAGCTTATAAAGAAAGTAATTACGATAGAGCACAAAAGAACAACAACCCCATTTTGAACTCCAAGGATCACTTTATGGGGTTGCTGATTATAGTGAAGGGAAGTTAAACGCAAGCGAGGAAGAGAAACAAACGAGGCTTAAACAACATAAGCTCAATATTACTGTTTTATAGAGTATAACTTGAGAAAATTTTCCAGTCTTAAAACTATCTTTTAAGTTCATTTTTTTTTTAATTATGAAACGATTCTTATCAATAAAAAATTGACAATATTATGAATTTCATGCTTCGGATTGAAAGAAGACTAGGGAACCTAATCATCCCACATATATTAGAAATTTATTTAATACCTCTAGTTTGTAACGTTATTCCTCATTTTATTCTTCATAAGTTGATTGTAAATGAAAACCATAAACCCTAGTTGTAAACTGTAAACTGTAAACTGTAAAATCTCATAATAACAATGAACCAAGGAAGAATGACGTGTTTCATTTTCTTTCTTTCTCCTGTCTTTTTCACTTCTTAGTGAAAGTAATTTTGTTTTCTAATTCAGGTAAAAGAAGAGGTGGAACATGTACTTAGACGCAGTTCACGATCTTTGACTAGGTCTCCTTCTTTACGAATCCAATCACTTGAACCCTCAACGCTACAACTGGTATTCAGTGGAAAACTTTTCCTCCCAATCTTCACCGGAACCAAAATTCTCGACACCGAAAACAACTTTCTTCAAATCCTTCTTGCTGACACAAAAGGCGATCCAATTCTTCCGACAACTCTTTCGTTTCCGATCAAAGTTGAAGTTGTTGTTTTAGACGGGGACTTCCCTCCCGGAGATCGTCAGACATGGACCCGTGATGAATTTGATCGGAATATTGTGAAGGAAAGGGCCGGAAAGCGGCCTTTGCTTACCGGAAACTTGAATGTTACCATGAGAGACGAGTCTGCTCCGGTTGGGGACATCGAATTTACGGACAATTCGAGCTGGATTCGGAGTAGGAGATTTAGGCTTGGTGCAAGAGTGGTTCCAGGGACCAGTAATGGAATTATTATACGAGAAGCCATGACTGAATCTTTTATTGTCAAAGACCACCGTGGAGAATGTAAGTCTCTTCTATCTACTTGTGCCTTGGAGAATAGTATGTCTGTTGAGTAATGTTATTTGTATTTAAAAAAATGATTTAATGTTGAGTATAATATGGTTTAGCATATTTGTTGTTTCCACCGTAGCTCTACAGAGGAATACCCCCACGGTACCAATGCCACTGAAAAAGTGCAGTTATGATATCAAATTTTCATTTATGTGATATCAAGATCTTGGTATAGTCCGTCATATAATGGTAATGATAATAGGATGTAAAAAATACACGATAGAGCATGTGTCACTGTTTAACTTTTTTCACAATTCCACAATTCACGATCCCGAAATGGATGTCATTTGCATATTTCAACTCTATAAATTCATGCAAATAGGATTATTTAGTGTTTTTAATGCATTTTATTGTATCATAAATCTTATATAAATCTTTTAAAAGAGATGATATGAAATCTTGAATGCTGATAAGAAAAAATGTTCAATAAAGGAGAAATCAATTGATCCATGGATTGGAAACTTTTAAAATATCTATTTTTTCAACTGAAAATGGGTCAACCATTTGTTCTTGATACTCGTTTTCTGAAATTTTTAAAATTATTAAGTTTGTGGATAGTATGAGTAGATGACAATCAGTTGATGGTGAGACGAAAGTTACATCTGAATTATTTGTACTTCTGTACAGGACCCAAACGGATATTTGATGATCTTCTCTTTTAAATTAGATTAAAAATCCTTCCTTCAGTTTGTATTCTTGTCTATCCTTTTTTGTTTTTTCATGTATGTCTAAATTATATGTCTTTATTCAATACAAGTTGGTGGGAAGTGTGATATCATAACCTCAATAATTGGTTATATTAAACAATGCCCAAATCTAGCTCTCCCAGTCAAAGTACACGTCAATCACCAACCCTTTACTTTACATATGGAGGCTGATATGGGCCCAAGTTTCAATATACTGCAAATCAAACTTGCACAGGAGCTTAGCTTAGAGGTGTGTGTTTAGGTTTTTGATCTAACGATACATCATTGTTTCTTGGAAGAGTTATTTTTTTTATATTAGGAATTTAAATTTTTCTCTCAAAAAAAAAAAATGGGGGTTTATACGAATAGTAAACTCAGCCATTATAAATTCGACTTGTATTGTAATTGTCTAGTTCAATAGTTGGAATTAAGGGGGGTAATTGTAAATATTGGGGTTTATTTTATAGGGTTGAATCCTATATTGTCATGCTTTGAGGAAATGTACTGTCATAAGAAACAGGAGAATCTTTAGTCTCTTGCTGAACATATATATATACACACTAGTGGTAAGGTACGGTATAATTAAAAAAAAATATCTTCTCTGACAGTGGAGTGTCAGGTCATGTGACGGAGAATGATATGAATTTAAGTATAAAAATGTGTTTAAATAGCTAACTGATTTATTAAAAATATGTATATTGATATAATAAAATAGAAGTGTATTTAAATTTTATCACAATCATATTTTTTCCTTTCATCATTAATCACTTATCTCATCTATCATTCTTTTATTAGACTCAAACGTCAAATCGCATTACTTATTTGTATTATATGTTTAATCATTTATATATTTATTTCTTCAAAATATTATATCACTTATTTCTGTCATATATTTAATTATTTAATATTTGATTAATGTATAGTTAACATATTTTTAAAAAAATTAATATAATGAGGTCAATTTTTTAGATGTTCAAATTTTATATTTTATTGTGGCTAGATAAACGAGTTATGACTATATATATATATATATATATATATACACTTCAGTCAACAAACAGCTTTTAAGTCTTGCTTATTCACTTTAGGAAAAGATGCTCAACATCTTGGTTCCAAGACTCCCCACATCTTGGTCCCAGTGATGAAACCATTTTAGCAAGAAAAAAAAGACCTGACGTTCATCACCCTTTATGTAGGGAAGCAGTCTTTTTTCACCATAGTCATGATATTCGTATTTATTATTTTATAAATTTAATATTTCGTGGTTCAACCTAAAGTTTGTTAACTCGAATTAGGATTACTAAGGTTGCAGTTATTCCATGCATACAGAACAGTGTGAAGAATATCACTTTTAAACTACATTTGTGTCGATGATTTGCTTACCACAAGTATTTTCTAAAAACTAAATAGTACGATGATTATATTTTTTTTTTCTACACGGAATGCATCTACAACCCGGCAACTAATGTCAAATAGTATGGTGATTATTCATTTTTTTTCTGCGTTTCTTGTTCTACATAATGATCTTCACTATAGGCCATACTTGTAACGCTTTAATAATTTTCTTGTCACTTGCAGTATACAAAAAACATCATCCACCCATTCTGGAAGATGAGGTGTGGCGTCTTGAGAAGATTGGGAAAGATGGAGCTTTTCACAAGAAGCTAGCTTCTGAGGGCATTGAAACTGTGCAAGATTTCTTGAAGCTCTCCATTGTTGACCAATGCAAGCTCAGAAAGGTATATAATTTATGTATTTCCAATTTTGGTGTAGGGTGCAAATTACACTTTTGCACCCTCAACTATGTCCCATGTCTGACATTGTATTCTCAACTATCATGTTTTTCATATTATACCTCCAAGGCTCCATCTACAGTAATTGGATACACATTAGCCATAAACTATCTCATTTTTCACATTTTTTGGGGCTATGTGTGGAACAAATCAGAATTGAAGACACCCAAAACATATTTTACCCTTGAATAAATTTTCCAATATCTCAAAAACACATGATTTTTTTTCCTGCTGCTGATGAAAAAAGGAAGGAAAACTCATTATTAATAATGCTGATCTTTTACAATTTCAACAGATCTTAGGACCAGGAATGTCAGAAAGGATGTGGGAAGTAACTTTAAAACATGCAAGGACTTGTGTTTTAGGCAGCAAACTATATATATCCCGTGGACCCAATTTCTTTGTGATCCTGAATCCTATATGCCAAGTCGTCAAGGCTTTGATTGATGGACAGCTGTTCCCTACAGATCGTGACCTAACAAACATAAATAGGGTATGGATTGCAACAACACACCCTTGTCCTTTCCCATTCACATGTTCGCTCTACTTGCTTTTCAGTCAGTTTGAGATTTTAGTATATTTATCAGTTTGATGATATAGTTGAATCTTGGAATATGTAGGCATATATTGAATCATTGGTTAAAGAAGCATATGAAAAATGGAATTCCTTAGAAGAAGTTGATGGACCTTCGACTGAGACAGGACTCCTAAGTCAAGGTACATCAATCCTTTTTAATGTTTTCTGGTTCAGCAATGCTATAGACACTTAATTTGAGGATTTAATGATGTGATTTTAATATAATTATTAGATTAGTTATAAGTTTTAATGTTAAATGATGCCTACAACCAATCTAATTATTGTACATTATTAAATCTTTAAATTAAGTCATCAAATTAGGTCCAAATAATATTTTTCTTTCTAGTTATGGATGAATTCTATTGCTTGCATGTTAACTTAGGTTTAAATTTGACACTTTACCCCTTAAAATGATTTTACATTAACAAAAGGGCACATTGCAACAAATTTTATACATTGAGGGGCAATGTTAAAAATTTTATATTTAAGGATATAAAATAAAAATTTTAAATCTTCCATGGCATAAAGTATAATAATTCTCCCTTCTTAAAAAGTGGTCATACTACTTTACACTTTTGTGTGGTAGGATGGTGTTGAGAATGTATTTATCCGAGAAAATGGGTTATGTACATCATTGGCAAGAATTAATATTTTATTTTAGTGCATTGTTTCCATCATTTTATTTCGATGCATTATATCAAAAATTACGAGTCTCAGATTATACCATTTAGTCAGGCCTCAAGTTTTCAAGTAGTGAGCATCCTACATGCTACACGCATATCTGAGAAATATTTATGGCCGATCGATAATACGTGCTAATCAAGAAAAGCTTAACTATAATAAATTGAACAAGTTTTGTACGCCTTACACCCAAAAAAGCCCAGAGTTTACAATTTCAAATGATTATGTATATCCAACCATCATATCATTCTAACTACTCTCGAATATGCTTTTCAATGAAAATAATAGGTGAGGTGGTGGATCAATATCCCAATCAACTTCACAGCACAATGACAAAACCGTATCAGCAGCATACATTTCTAACTGATGGAGCCATTGAAGGGGGCACAGTGTCAGGCAATGGACAAGTAGAATGTAGTGATCAGTGGATCAATAATGCCGCATACGGTTGCAATCCCGTTGAAAGTGGTGCTTGTTATAACTTCTCGGAGTGTTCCTCCGACGGTGAACTACCACCTCTAAGGTGTTTCATCCACGAAAACTAATGGTCTTTCTTGTACATCATGTTGATTATTGATCTGGTGAATTTGTGGCCGCCCCTTGTTAAAATGTTGTGGCTTGGCACAACTTAGGATTCTTCCATTGCAATGAATAGTCGTTATGTTTCTTACCTTTTCTTGTATAGAGCCTGCCAAAATTTCTAGCAATGAAGCTCTAATTTGATGTGTATTTGCTTTGCAGATTTTGATTATTTGATTCCTAATGTGAAAAAGCTTGTGTATTTCAATCATGGCTATTTATAATCTGAAAACTAGTATCAGAAGCTAGTAATCAGAAAGTGCATAACTATTTACTGCAGAAATTACCTAGGAATTGAATCAGGATTTATATCGACACTCACATTCAAGTGAAAAATAAAAAAACAATCACACATGAGAAAACAACAATTTACGTGGTTTGACGAATGCCAACGTCCATGACAACAACGATCGAAATTTTTCACTATGGAGTAAAATATGAGTACAAGCAAGTTATTTCAAACTTCACAAGTACTCACCTAAAGAGGATCACGCTGATATCTCACTGGTATCACTCACAAATCTGATAACAATCAGAATATCACTCAATAAAATAGAACACTTAGTTCTATTTTTCAGATGCTTTAACACTCAGGTTCTAATGCTTGAACTTGCTCAAGTTTCCGATACATTGGACACTGTCGAGGCTTCCTTTATATAGAAAATGGAATGGGCAGAAAACAAAAGAGCAGATCTGCATTTTGATTTGCGCACTATGCAATTCAGGCACAACCAATGTTTTTCTTCCTATTCCAATTCATGTGCAACAAGATTTTCAACAAGCTCATTAACTGCAATAAGCCCACAAGATGACTTATTGCCAAGTCCAAGCAATGCTCGAACTTGATTGCTGGAACTACTTTAGTGAACAAATCAGCTAGATTATCTTTAGTTCCAACTTTCTGTAGAGAAATGTCGTCATCATGATAATCCCACGAACAAAGTGAAAGCGATCGAACATCAATATGCTTGGTTCTAGTATGATGAGCTTGATGTTTCGCCAAGTGAATGACACACTGACTGTCACAAAAGATGCTCACATTCTTTTGTGATATTCCCAAATCACCAATCAAACCTCAAAGCCATAAAGCCTCTTTGAGGGCCTCAGTCACTGCCATGTATTCTACCTTAGCTGTTGATAGAGCAACTGTTGGTTGTAGCATAGATCTCCAACTAACTGGACTATGGGCTAACGTGAAAACATAGCCTGTTGTAGATCTTCCCTTGTCCAGGTCACCGGCATAATTAGAATCCACATAACTGCTGACATGAGACTCTGAACTCTTGTCCCATTGATACACCAATCCTATATCCAGATTACCCCACAGATACCTTATTAACCATTTCATAGCCTGCCAGTGTTCCTTACTAGTATCTGACATATACTTGCTTACCATATTGACTACATGTGAAATATCCGGACGAGTGTATACTATAACATTTTGCACTCGCATATGGAACATGAGAACTATACTAATGCTCTTCCTTCCTACTTGCATGCTTCTGTGATATCCCCAAATCACCAATCAAACCTTGAAACCATAAAGCCTTTGACAACCTCAGTCACTGCCAAGTATTATACCTTAGTCGTTGATAGAGCAACTTTTGGTTGTAGCATAGACCTCCAATTAACTGGACTATGGGCTAATGTGAAAACATAGCCTGTTGTAGATCTTCGCTTGTCTAGGTCATCGGCATAATCAGAACCCACATAACCACTGACATGAGACTCTAAACTCTTGTACCACTAATACACCAATTCTACATTCAGAGTACCCCACAGATACCTTAATAACCATTTCATAACCTGGCAATGTTCCTTATCAGGATTTGATATATGCCTACATATTGACTACATGTGAAATATCCTGACGAGTGTATACCATAACATACATTAAGCTTCCAATTGCACTTACATATGGAACATGAGAACTACACTAATGCTCTTCCTTGCTACTTGCAAGACATATATGCTGATAGTGTGAAATGGGCAGCTAAATGAGTACTCACAGGCTTTGAGTTCTTCATACCAAATCGAGAGAGTACCTTCTCCAAGTACTTTCCCTGTGATAAACACAAAGTAGACAAAAGAACTATCTAGTAGCTTCTTAAAAGTACACACAATGATCATACTTAATTCTGGTGCAGCTTTGCTTCAACATGTGTGACGCCCCTAAAACCAGGGGTCCTTTGTCAACCGTTGACATCCGTCAACCCGCGGTAATACCCATGATTGTCGTGCCAATTTGACATCACGTCAATAAAATCCCTTTCACGGGGATTATTACCCACCCGTATAACACATGCATATTTTGTCATTTGACCCAACCGGGTTCAATATATCACAATTTATCTTTATTTTATGTCCGTTTATATCCTTGGAACCAAAGAATCCAAAGCCCAAAAGAATGACAAAGATATTTTAAAATTTTCAAGTTTTTGGAAGTTCTACTGGTAGAACGTGGTCGAGTGGGCAAGACTTACTGATAGAACCTACCAGTAGGATCTTGTACAAGCAGAATTTGGGTTATCAGGCAAAACTTGTGATGTCCCTAAAATCGGAGGTCCTTTATCAACCGTTGACATCCGTCAACCTGCAAAAAATATCCATGATTATCGCCCAATCCGACATCACGTCAGTAGAATCTCTTTAACCGAGATTGTTACCCATGCGTATAACACATGCATATTTTGCCATTTGACCCAACCGGGTCCAATATATCACAATTTATCTATATTTTATGTCTGTTTATATCCTTAAAATCAAAGAACCCAAAACCCAAAAGCATGACAAAGCTATTTTAAAATTTTCAAGTTTTTGGAAGTCCTACGAGTAGGTCCTACCAGTAGGTTTTGTTTACTGGAAAAGTCGTACCGGTAGGTTTTGCCTAATAACCTAAATTCTGCCTGTACAAGATCCTACCGGTAGGTCTTGCCCACTGGACCACGTTCTACCAGTAGGTTGTGCCTAGATTTGCCTGTTTCACCTATTTTCAATTTTCAATCCATTTTAAACCTACCCCAAACTCTTATAACATATATTAGGGCGCTTTAATATAGCTACTACAAGTACAGAGAATACACAGAAGCCAGAAAAAATTGATTGAATCGTGCAATACGAATCGAATTGTACGATTCGGTGCGATTCAACTCTAAAACGATTCTCATATAAGATATGAATTGTTTTGTACCTATATCGAACCGAATCGTAAGAATCGAATCGCGAATCATACGATTTTGATTACTATGCTCTAATGTTGTCCAAATAGTTTTGTCCTCAAGCATTGATCTTGCTTAGTGAAAAATATAATAGTTGTGTGTTTCTGTTGATCTATCAACATTGGTTTCCATCCGTACATTGTTTTACGTTCTTTCAAATGTCAATTGATGCATGGCACGTTATATAACATGTGTGCATATGAGCTTGAAAAATGTTGTAAAACTTATTATCCATGAACCAGATATGCTTTTTTTTGTATTTGGCCTTTCTCCTTTTTCTATTATACATATTATGTTTTGATGCATTCTTTGAAAGTATGAAGTATACTTTACCAACTTGTTAACAACCGCATATCAATAATAGATCTGAGTTACAAATGCTTGTATGACAGAGTTTGAGCACTAGAATGGTAAACTAAAAGGAAGCTTGTATCCTTTGCAACATTGGTTGTTAAGGTGTATGCATGAAAAGTTGAGATAATGGATGAAATGACATTAGATGTCATTAATTTAATGAAAACTGCATCTAATTGGGTGACTATTGCATTTGAAGCACCTTTCGCTCAGGCTGTTGTTTTTGGAGTGCATATTGGAGGTAACTTCTAAAATCTCAAAGAACCCAACAAAATATCGTTGTCCTCTTCATTCCTGATAAATTTATCTAGAAGTTTACATTTTTTTCCTTAGTCATTAGGACATCTATTTGTTAAGGGTCTTCTCTTAGTGGTTATCCTATTCCTACTTTCACAAAAAAGTTACAAGCCACCTAAAATACCACTAATGAAGAAGGTGTGTGCAGTAAAAACCATGTTTATGCATTACAAACTACTACATTGTTTTGAAAGTTATTATGGTCCTCATCACTTGATCAGTCGATCTAGAATTTGTTTTTTATAAATGCTTTAAAGTATCGATTCTTGACTAGCTATTTCTTAACTTCAATGTAGATTATTATTGTAAGAATAAATCTTGGCCATTGAGTTAAAAAAATAACATTGTCCATCAACCAGAGCTTAATTTTTCAAAATAAAAGAAAATTAACCTAAAAACCATTTCTAGTTCATTACATAGTTTATAGTGGAACCTTGAACTAGTCCTATGCTTTGTTCATGTTAATGATACTCACTACATTAGCTGCTTGTCATCTCCCCAATTTTAACACAAAAATCACGTATGATCATATATAAGCACACAAACAAATCAACTCATTCGCCCAAACAACTGTTACAGGCACTTTTCTTGGACCAAAAAACTCCAAGTTGTTGTTAGCGTACAATATGTTTTGGGCTTCCAAAGATGATATGTCCTTTGTGGTTAGGCTATAGATACTACAGCCTTGGAATTAAATCATTTGTTATTATGTTCAAGGGTCATAAGCTCATCGTCAAATTATTCATCTGCGTATATTCTTAAACTTTGTTAAAGTTTCTGCTTTCTTTATCCATACCAAGTGCTTTATACAGGCGTAAACTTTAAATGGAACAATTATATCGAATTTACTAATTGTGCTTATTAGTTTTCACAGTGGTGCAACTACAAAGTTTATGTATCCTATTTTTAGTTTCTTAGTTTTGTGACATTCATTTTGATAAATGTGTTTGTTTGATTTCTCGTAGGAAATAGATGAGCTATGTGATGAATGGGTTCTAGAATCCCTTATTCCTCCTATTATAGAAGAGATGAAATTTGAACCTCCCAAATTGGAAAGGTAAATATTCTCTCTTTTAATTCACTTTCTCATAGTGGTATATTTCTTTCGTAAAGTTGCGAGGCTTTTGGTTATTTGTTCAATTTTTTTGTATGGTTACATTTTATTTCCTTCACCACACCTTCCCCCATCCTTTTTTTTTTCTTGGGAGGGGGGGGGGGGGAATTACCATAGGAATTTCTGCTTATGAATTGGATTTTTTATGTAGTGATAGTAATCAATGGCAAAGAAGTTCTCAACTTTGCTTCAGCAAATTACCTTGGGTTAGTTGGGCTTGAGAAGCTACTTGTAAGGAAAACCTACCCCTTTGATTCATAGTTTGTCTTTTAATAGCGGTGCCTTGACCTAGGGTGACCATTGACTGCAATGTTGTATGATAGAAGTCATGCACATCAGCATTGGAGAAATACAGTATCGGTTCTTGTGGTCCTCGTGGGTTTTATGGAACAATTGGTATAATTAATGGCTTACTCCTGTTGCAGCAATTTATATCTGCCGCATGAAAAAAACTATGCTTCTAAGAATTTCCTTTTATATAGATGTTCACCTTGACTGCGAGGCCAGAATAGTGAAGTTTTTGGGAACTCCAGATTCCATACTCTATTGACTCTCCACTATGTTCAGTGCAATTCCGGCTTTCTGCAAGAAATGAGATATTATTGTTGTGTGAGTATATTTGATCGTCTTTAATTATCTGGTTACCAATTTGATACGACATAGAATTTGGTTGGGATTTGTTTTCCAAATGAATGAAGATGGAGATTACTAGACGTATGTTCTTATCTGGAGATTCATCGCATATGTTGAAGACATGATGAAACTCTATTTTAGTTTTATTTTTTACTGGGGTCATTTTAGCTTATGTGATTTGATGACATAAAAATGAACATAGAAAGGACATCATCGGTCCCTTCAGAAGTGTTTCTTGTTTGATTTGGCATATGTATTTTATTGCATTGAATCCTGGATACTCTTTTTCTGGTATCATTTTGATCTTCTAGGGAAAAGAGTGTACATTGGAGAATACAAAATGGACTTTAGCTCTCTAGAAGTACAATTGTCTACTCCAAGCACAATAACATGGATTCTTTGAGGAATACTTTGGAGAAATTTATTGAAGAAAATAAACGAGCTAAGAAGCTAAGGCGCTACATTGTGGTTGAAGCTGTGTATTAGGTATATTTGTCACCCATGCTTGAATTTGGCAGAACTTGTAAGTCTAAGCTTAAAGGACATACACATCCATGTGCGCTATTCAACACATTATGAACGTTGATGTCCGTCATCGCTCTAGTTTCATAACAATTCAAAATCATGGAATTCCTTATAAAAATATATGGCATAGGCTTTGGACAACAATGATTCTATCTGTCAAAGAATTATCCAAGTAAATTACTGATGCCAACCATGTGCTCAAGAAATTGACTATATGTGCATTGAACTGCATCAATAGGTCTTGTATCAATATGCTTGCTATGCTAACTTGTATGCCTAATTAAATTTCCTTATCTCTCTTTCTTTCTCTCCTAGGATGCACGGACACAGATACGAACACGAACACAAACACTGACACGGATATAACACGACACGTCATGATACACATACGTAGACACGACATTTCTAAAAAATAGTAAGACGCATACATGTTGGAGATACGCTATAAATAATTGTGTTATATATATAAAAGTATATAATTTATCAAAAAAATATGATGATAATGAATAATATATTATAAAAAATTCAGTACTTTATCATAAGTAATTTTTATATCTAGTCATATGGTGTGAATTTTTAGACTAAACCATCATAATAGTCAAGAATCATCAATTATTTGTAGACTTATACCTAATATATATAATTTAAATGATTTTTATTGTTTTCTCAATTTCTTTTTTATAAACTTGTATTCATTTTTTGCTTTGTTATTATTTTTTGAGTATGATTTTTACATGCTATGTCTTGGTAATTATATGTTATGCCATAATATAAGATACTTATAGTCAAAATTTTAAGCTTTGTTATTCACTTGTCAATGCATGTTTATTGATTAGTAATAGGTATGGTTTAAAGAAGTGTCGGACACATCACCAAAGACGTGTTGGACACATATACAAGAGTGCTGGAAGAATGTCGGTGTCCAACAGTGATACATTTCCTTCTTGAGAGTGTTCGTGCTTCATAGGTTCTCTTTTTCAGTTCTCCAAACTTTTAACTTTTGGTTGATTTGTCCATTTTTCAAAAGTCCAGGCAAATTGCTCTCCATTGGATGATATCATCAAACTGAAGGAGAAACATTGCTTCCGAGTTCTATTGGATGAGAACAACTCATTTGGTGTGCTTGGCAATTCTGAAAGAGGTCTAACCGAGTACCATGGGGTTTTGGTATGTTTTCAATACATTTTGGGCTTGTGAGTGATTGAACTTCCATATGTGGTTTTATGGTGGTGTGGTTTGTAGATTGAGAAGATAGATATCGTAACTGTTGCCATGGGACATGCTTTGGCCACAGAAGGTGGATTCTGCAGTGGAAGTGTCAGTCATTAACCACCAAGTATGCAAGAAGTATTTAGATTACAACTACATGAGAAATTGAAAATAGAGTTTAGAGAGAATTTTTGATGTAATCAAATTACTTATTTGTGTCGAGTTATTGATTTTAATGCTTCAACTTTTCTTATTGCCTGTGTGCTTATTATTCATGATGTGCAACGTCTCAGCAACTTTGGCTATCTCTTCTCTGCCTCTCTACCCCCATATCTAGTAAATGCTGTAGTTATTGCTATCGATGTTTTGGAGCAAAATCCTTATTTGATTACAAAGCTGAGGAAGAATATCACCATACTATGCAGAGGTGTTTACTTTTACCATTGTTTGCTCTTTTAGACTGTATAAAGCTATGACCATGATCATGTTGTACCTGTTTGTTATGGTTTGTCTATCAAGATCTGTATAGGGGCTGTGAAGAAGTTTATTTTACTTTTTGCTGGTCTTAGCCTTTGTTTTGGTCCTAATATATTGATAAATTACAGAATTGTCTGATATATGAGGCCTTGAGATTGTGAGTGATCAACAATCCCCCATTGTTTTTCTCAGATTAAAGAAATCCACAGGTTCCTTAAAGAATGATTTATCATTGCTTGAAGATATTGCTCACCATGTAAGCTTCATGCAATCCTAATTTTATTAAGTTGACATAAGTACTTTCTCAAGTACCTAATGCACTTTGCATTTGCAGGTATTGAAGGAAGACTCTATTTTTGTGGAGACTTCCAATAGATCCATGCTTAATAAATGGAGTTTGCCTGTCGGAATTAGGTTGTTTGTCTCGGCCACTCATACAGAATCAGATTTGACGAAAGCATGTGAATCACTGAAGAGAGTTGCATCATTGGTCTTGACAGCTCATGTGTAAATGTCAATTCAAATCTCACTTTTTGGGGGCATTCATAATTGAATCGTTTATGTGATGCAAGCCAACAACAGCAAGAGAGGATAATATTGCGTCACACTTTCTATTTAACATGGGTCCGTGAATTTTAATTTTGAATTGCATTGTTTGTGATTTCTATCATATGAAGCATGCAATAGAGTGATTACAATGTAATATTTTCTTGAGATAACTAAGTTTTAAAGGTTGATTATATGTTTTTTTATCATTTGCAATACTCTTCTTTCTCTTGTACTTTTTTCCTTTTTGACTACTAGAAAGAAAAATTATTGATTGTTCTATTTTGTTCCAACACTATAATTTGTTTAAGTACATTTTAAGTACATTTTTCTTTCGTTCTCGATTATGGGATTCACTATATATAAGTGGATGCTTCTCAATACATGGTGGGTGCCTACTTATGTGGGAAAATGTCACTTTGAACTCTCGAATATGTTAAAAAATGTTGAATGCACTTCCAAAAACTCCAAATCTAGACATTCCATTACCTTTGGAGAGTGTTTTGCCGTGTTAGGTCACCATTCTCCCTTTGTCCATAATACAGGTGCATGAACCTGCCAATGGAGGGTTGAGCAGGATCTTGTTACATGCATCTATTCCAACATCATGGCAATGCATAAACAAGGTTTGAAGAAGTTTTTCACAAGATACCAGAAGTTGAATTTTGGGTTACCTCCATAGATTCAAAAGATGTAGTAAATAAGGTCTGCATACACAAATGAGTATGGCCTTACCTCTGTCTCTGTGTACATTTTTTATGAATGCATGTACTTGGAGGTTTTCCCATTTATATTAACCAATGAGAGAGAGAGAGAGATTGAGAGGGAGGTATGGAACTGGTAAAAATGTATCGGCAAGTCATATTAAACCTACTCCTCATGGGGCTTTAGACTTGAGCTTCAATTTCACACTCAATAAATATAATAGTTTTAATAATATATTTCACAATAAATGAAAGAAGAGAAATAAAGTAACAAAAATAAACTAAAGAAAAATTTCTTAAACTAGTCTTGACCTAAAGAGAAGTTGGGGATAATTTCACTTTTGAAGGAAAGCAACCAAAATATTTAAAATGGTATTGAGCAAGGGAAATTGGAAACTAATTTAACACGAAAATTTTTCCTTGTTAATCACAAATTAGATACCAACAATATCAATTGCCACACATTTTACAATTGACCAAATGAGGATGCCATACCCTATTTATTCTTTCCTGTAACTTTCTATTTATTAGAGCTACAATTTTATTGCGATGACAATATTATATGATAATTGGAATAACCTGAATCAAAACCCCTTTATACACATTACAAAAAAAGTCATATTATTTTATATATTGTTACGTGAACAACTTAGATTCGAATCTCTTCTCACTCTTCGCTACACATAAAGAAATGGGTGATATACAATTTACACCCATAAAGTATACACATACTTTCTATTTAGTACTTGAAGTTTTAATTGATACAATTATATCTTTAAATTTTTTATTGAGTTTCAATTCAGTCTTCTATCCAGATCTATTAATTTATTCCGATAAGAAAGACGTCGCAGAACTTATCCATAATGTATATTGGTCCACCAAAAAATGTCTCTCTCAAATACATTGCTACTTCTCTTTTTTGTTCACAATATCACTCACTTTTATTCGGGATTGTTATACACACTTTCTTTTCCTCTCAAAATTAAATGAAATAAAATAATATTTTATAATCTCCAAGTAACAGATTTTTATCAGACAATTATATCTTTTTACCTAAGTCATATTTTGGTCACAAAAGACCATTCCATCTTAATAAATTGATGAATTTTGATATAAAGACAAACTTGAAACTCAATAAGGACTTGATTGTTGCAATTGAAATTGTAAGGGCCAAATAGAAATTATGCTCATATTTTACGGGTGTAAATTATCAATTACCCCAAACAAATCTATATCAAAATGGGCTCCTAATTTAATGATTTATGTCCAATACAAAAAAAAAGTCAATGAAAAATCACTTTGGGACAATTAGTCTATGTAACAACGTCTTTTTCCTCCTCCAAACGCCGATTCCCGTGAAGCAAATTTTCCTCTCCTAACCACCTTAAAATCCAACCCATTTTTTGCAACAACCAAACACCTCTGAATTCAACTCATAGAAAACAGAGCCAAAATGTTAACCCTCCAAAGCCACATCATCAACACCCCTAAGCCTCTCTTCACCACCACCTCCTCCGCCACCACACACGACCCTAACCTTAATAATGATAGTAATAGTAACAGTTCAAACGCAACCAAGCTCTGAGGCGTAGCCCATCTCTTCCGCCACCTCCCACCCACCACCACCACAACCACAACCACCCCTTCCTCCAACACCACTGCCTTGACCACTCTTCTCTTTGTCGTCGTCCTACTGCAGTTATTGCTATTGATGTCTTGGAGCAAAATCCTGATTTGATTACAAAGCAGAGGAAGAATATCACCATACTATGTAGAGATCTTTACTTTTACCATTGTTTGCTCATTTAGACTATATAAAGCTATGACCATGACCAGGTTGTACCTGTTTGTTATGGTTTGCCTATCATGATTTGTATCGGGGTTGTGAAGAAGTTTTATTTTACTTTTTGCTGGTCTTAGCTTTTGTTTTGATCCTTATATATTGATAAATTACAGGATTGTTAGATATACAAGGCCTTGAAATTCTAAGTGATCCACAATTTCCCATTATTTTTCTCAGATTAAAGAAATCCACAGGTTCCTCAAAGAATGATTTATCATTGCTTGAAGATATTGCTCATTGTGTAAGCTTCATGCAATCCTAATTTTAATAAGTTGACATATGTACTTTCTCAAGTACCTAATGCACTTTGCATTTACAGGAGTTGAAGGAAGACTATTTTTGTGGTGACTTCCAAGAGATCCATGCTTGATAAATATAGTTTACCTGTCGGAATTAGGTTGTTTGTCTTGACCGCCCATACAGAATCAGATTTGACGAAAGCTTGTGAATCACTGAAGAGAGTTGCATCATTGGTCTTGACAGCTCATGAGGAAATGTCACAATTTAGATCTCACTTTTTGGGGGCATTTATAATCGAACTATTTCTGTGATGCAAGCCAACAGTAACAAGAGGGGATAAGATTGTTTCACGCTTGCTTTCTATTTAGCTTGGGTCAGTGAATTTTAATTTTGAATTGCATTGTTTGTGATTTCTATCATATGGAACTTGCAATAGAGTGATTGCAATGTAATATTTTCTTGAGATAACTAGGTTTTAAAGGTTGATTATTCATTGAGCAGTGTAGATGTATTTGATCATTTTCAATACTCTTCTTTTTCTCTTGTACATTTTACTTTTTTGACTACTAGAAAGTAAAATTATTGAGTGTTCTATTTTGTTCTAGCACTATAATGTGTTCAAGTACATTTTACTTTTATTCTTAGTTATGGGATTCACTATATATAACTGGACGCATATCAATACAATGTGGGTGCCTACTTTTGAGGGAAAATGTCTTATTGAACTCTTGAATATTTCATATTGAACTCTCGAATAAGTTCAAAAAATGCTCTTCCAAAAACTCCAATTCTAGATATTCCATTACCCTTGGAGAGTGGTTTGCCGTGTTAGGTCGCTATTCTCCCTTTGTTCATAATACTGGAACATGAACCTGCCAATTGAGGGTTGAGCAGAATCTTGTTACATGCATCTATTCCAACATCGATGCCAATGCATAAACAAGGTTTGAAGAAGTCTCTCACAGAATACCAGAAGTTGAATTTTGGGTTACCTCCATAGATTCAAAAGTTGTAGTAAATAAGAAAGCCAACATACACAAACGAGTGTAGTCTTACCTCTATATCTCTATGTACATTTTTATGAATGCATGTACTTGGAGGTTCTCCCATTTTTATTAATCAAGGAGAGAGAGAGAGAGAGAGAGAGAAGGGGGAGGTATGGAACTGGCAAAGATGTATTGACAAGTCATATTAGACCTACGTCTCATGAGGCTTTAAATTTGAGCTTCAATTTCGTACTCAAAAAATAAAATAATTCTAATAATATATTTCACAATAAATGAAAGAAGAGAAATAAAAGCAACAAAAATAAACTAAAGACAAATTTCTTAAACTAGTCTTGACCTAAAGATAAGTTGGGGATAATTTCACTTTTGAAGGAAAGCAACCAAAATATTTAAAATGGTATTGAGCAAGGGAAATTGGAAACTAATTTAACACTAAAATTTTTCTTTGTTAATCACAAATTAGATACTAACAATATCAATTGCCACACATTTTACAATTGACCAAATGAGGTCATACCTTATTTATTCTTTCCGGTAACTTTATATTTATTAGAGCTACGATTTTATTTCGGTGACAATATTATATGATCATTGGAATAAACTGAATCAAAAACCTTCATACACATTAAAAAAAAAGTCATATTATTTTATATATAGTAACATGAACAACCTAGATTTGAATCTTTTCTCACTCTCCGCTACACAAACAAATGGATGATTTTCAATTTAAGCTCATAAAATATACACATAATTTATATTTAGTACTTGAAGTTTTAATTGATACAATTATATCTATAAAGTTTTTAACGAGTTTCAATTCAGTCTTATACCCAGATTTATTAAATTAATTTTAATAAGAAAGACATCGCAAAACTTATCCATAAGATACATTTGTCCACCAAAAAATGTCTCTCTCAAATACATTGCTATTTCTCTTTTTTGTTCACAATATCACTCACTTTTATTCGGGATTGTTATACATATTTTTTTTCTTCTCAAAATTAAATGAAATAAAATAATATTTTATAATCTACACGTAATAGATTTTTATCAAACAATTATATTTGTTTACCCAAGTCATATGTTGGTCACAAAAGACCATTCCATCATAATAAATTGATGAATTTTGATGTAAAAACTACATTGAAACTTAATAAGGATTTGATTGTTG